GGTCATCTACACTCTTTCTGGTCATCACCCTTACATCATCAGCTCCTGTTCCAGAGAGTGTTGTCCATGTGTGAGCAGTGGAAGCACTCACACCGGCACAAAAGCTTATAACCATTCTTTCAGCTAGCTTCATCATGCTCTTTCTCCCTTCTTGGTTTGTTATCACTATCAGCATTGTAAGAATCATAAAAGTTAATTTCATGACACAGAATTGTCCCCTAACCCTTCAATTAGAATGCTAACAACATGCTTTGTAGCACAACATTTTTCACATATTATCATTAGCTAATGTTTATATTATATTTAATTGAACATTTCATAAGTAGAAAAAAAAAATGTGAGCATTTATTTATACCTCCGACATCTACGGTGGGAATGTTTGTTGCCATAGCACTAGCAAGCCTTTCACATTGTCGATCTAAGGTTGCAACCCAACGTTTTGCTCCAAATGCATGTCCAGAGCTAACAAGCTGTTTGTAAAGATTATGAACACCCCTGTCATCCACTTCCACGTGCTCAATCCATGTGACCTAAGTCATAGAGATTAAGCCACATTAAGAACATGAAAATAAAACAAAATAATTAAAACAAAAAGTACGACCTAGTGCACTAGGCTTCAACCTCCCATAAGTAGTAGCTATAGGAAATGTCGAAGTACCCGTTTTGGTCTCATAATTTCAATAAATCTTACCTTTGAATAGCCATTTGGCATTTCTTGAATTAAGCAACCAGAAGGCCTTCTTCTACATCTGGCTGAAGGACTAGGGCGCAAATTATCCAACGACACATCCACAACTGCCCAAGTCCCATCAGCATGCTGCTTACAATACCTTACAAAATAACTCTCACGAGTTGGCACAAGAGGTGTAGGTAGTTGTAGTTCTGATGTCATCTGCAGAATCAAACAATTAGTTCATTAGTATTCAAAATTCCGATAAACATACACCCAAAATGAGGTTTACACATGTAAAAGAAAGTAAGAGAAAGATAAAAAGGGAAAAAAGAAAAATATAATAGATGTGATAAGTTATGTATGGAAAAATGAAGAAATATAATTAGAAATAAAATAAAATATTATTCTTGTATTTAATTGCATCATTTGCGGTGATAGTAAGTTAAACTGTACAATAAATATGTACCACTTGTAAGGCACCATTGTAGTTCCCGGCCACCCCTGTTGATAGAACCTCCAGGGTCATGGCTCTTGAGACTATACCAGAGAACACTGTGGACCATTGGTTCTGAAAAGTACAAAGGAACCAAAAGTTAAAGCTAGAGAAGCCATAGAAGCTTGAAATAATAATAATATAATGCATTTCACAAGCACAAAATACTGAAGTGAGTAAGAAAACAGAAACATATACCACATCCATGAGAATCTCAACGAGGTTGACATGGTTCATGATAACAACAGCGGTTTCTCTAGAAGCTTCACATTTGAAGCCAGAGGGTTTAGGGCCAATTCCTCGAGGGAAGGACCTGATGTACTCATCCTCATTTAGCATAGTGGAAGTGCCATCAAGGGTAGTTAGCCAAAGAGGCTCACCCATTTGTGCCATCCCAATGAGCTCTTCCATAGCTGCAACGGCTAGCTCTATGATTATTGGTTTATCAGCTTCGGTGGGTCCACTAATTGACCTAAGAAGGTCACCAGCACCATAAATGTCCACACCAATCCCTGGTTGGCCTCCAAAACCAGCACCAACCCCAAGTTCTAGTGGACGAGGAGGAAGAGAAGGAGAAATATTTGAATAGTTCACCACAGGCTTCCCTACATACTTTGCAGCAATTGCTGAAATCCTATCGATCTGAAAATAAAAACAACAAAACATATCAAAAAATGTCAAAGAATAATCAAAAAAATATGAATGCAGATTAATTATTTGTTGTCCGCTGTGCGAGGAATACATTCATGGATCAGGAGAAAAAAAAATACCACCTAACTCTATTAGGACCCTTGCTTAATATGTTAGGTCCTTGTCAGCTAATCTTATGAGTTGAATACTCTTTAATTATTTATTTTTATCAAGGTCCTTTTTAGCTTGGACCATCGAGTAGCTAGAATAATTAAAAGACATATATATTAAATACATATATATAGTTACATAAAATGTTGCCTATTTAATTGATGTACCTCTTCTCTTAGCCGTGCATTTTCAAGCCTTAGGTGATGTTCATCGAATGACATTTCTCCTATAGCGGTTGGTCCACCACAATTAGGACACGAAGCATTGCTGAGAGCCTCCCTATACCTCATGTTATCTGCTCGAAGCTTCTCGTTTTCGGTTCTAAGCTGTGTATTCTCATGCCGCTCGTGTTGTGTCTGCAACAACAAAACACCACCACCCCCTTCACAAACAACACACAAAAAGGAAAAACCTAACATATATATTTATGCACCAAAGATATAATATACCTTCATCTGAGTACGCTTGTTCTGAAACCAAAACTTAACCTGCAATGGCTCTAACCCTAACTCCCTGCTCAGCTCCTTCCTTTGCTTGTCGTCTGGGTGAGGACACTCCTTGAAAAAACTGCAAAAAACAAAATTCAATCATTTTTTTCTAAATATTAAAAAAATTAATTGTATCATGGCACATGACAAAGAAGATGGAGTTAACAGAATTACTTCAGCTTAACCAGTGATCTCCGGTTCGAGTCTCGTGAATATAAAACTACATTAATATTTGATAGAATAACTTCGTCCCTTATACGACTCTAGCGGTGAAAGATGTAACGAAAAAAGGAAGGAGTTAGGGTATTTTTGGGGTAACTTACGCTTCCATTTCCTGGATCTGGTGCTGGGTGTGGCGGTGGTAACGTTTCTTTTTGTTGGGACGAGGGTCTTGGTCTTCACCAGAAGCACCTTCATGGTTTTCACTACCAGACTTGGTGGCACTGTCGAACTCATCTTCACGGATTCGAGGAACCTCACTCTCAGAAGTGTTCTGACCCATCTCCAACGCCTCCATCAGGTTCGACTGGAACATTGCTGCAGATCTTTAAGGTTTCCGGAGCCTTATGGTTTTTCAATCTAACAAAACACACAATAACACATGTAGTAGTAGTATAGTACGGTACACTCACAGAAAAAGACACGAAGTCACAAATATTTTTTTATTCCTGATTAACGTTTTCTAGGAATTCCTTTTCTTTTCTCTTTTTAAACTGGATGTAATTTTTTTCTCTTTTGACTTTTTTCTGAGAAAATAACGCAGTTTTGGGGAAAACGCGACTTTCTAATATCGAGAAGGATATTTCGCCCGGTTGTGCAAAAAAAAAGGGGTTGTTTGGAGTTGTGTCGTGAAGGAGAGCGTAAAAAAGTGGGAAAAAAATGATGCGTCAATTTTGTTTCGAAATTTTAATCTAAAGGATGAATTGAAGAGGTGGAGAATAAATAAATAAATAAAAAGTGAGTGTCAAAATGAGTTGAAAGTTGAAAGAGAAAGTGAAAAGTTATAAGCACCAACCTGGGTAAGAATACTAAAAGGTGAAGATGATCCAAACCCACCAACGTTGTTGTTCCTTTGTATCAACGAGGGCATGTTTCTCGCCGGAATCATAATTCCGGTTGGCATATTTCACATACCTCAAAAGTCAAAATCACCACCAACTAGTATATGAATAATTAACTCTCTCTCTCTTTCTTTCTCTCTCTTATCACTCTCTGAGCAAGGGTTGCTGAAGTTTTTTGAAGTCCTTGGTAGAGAAGAAGAGTTTAGCTCTTGGATTCTGTCAGGTGGCAATGTCAAACCGAGTCAGTGTGTTACTACCAAAAAAAAACTCAGACATACAAACGTGACCTCCAAGAGAACAAAAAAAAAACATCAAAAGTTCAAAACAAATATACCCTACAACGCATATATCATTACATGGATTAAGAAGCAAGGAAATATCATTGCCCTTTTTCTGATCTTGCCTTTTCACAAAACAAAATCAAAACTTTCTCAAAACAAAACATAACTCCAACGAAGATCTCGGAGAACCCCACAAGTCCACAACGCTTCCAATATTTCAGGATTTTTTTTTCTTGACCTAATGTCCCTTTTCACACTCCCCCAGCCCTAGTTCACCCGGAAAAAATGTTAGAACCCATGATGAAAAAAAAGTACAAAACGTACCCTTGGAAAACCAGTGAGTGACCTTAGGAAAACGTAAGAACCAAGTTTTACTTTTAACTTACCCTTGAGTGGTAGTACTAGTAGCAGAGAAAGAAGATGAAGGTGTAGATCTGTTTTGGTGCTATAAACCCATTGAAAAGAAAAGGGTTTGGGAGTTATGGTAATAAAGTTGGTTATATGGTAAGGAATGAAGAAGGTTAGAGAGAGAGAGAAAGAGAGGATAGGGACAAGGGCATTGAAGGAGAGAGGGAAGTGGGGAACAGATGGAAGCAGCGAAGAGTAATTGCAGAGCGTATTGAGAGGGTGCAATTGCATTTAATGGAGGGCAAAAGAGGTGTAATTGCGAGAGAGGGGAGAGAGAAAGAGACGCAGCATATTTTTTGTGTATAAATTTTTGACGTGCTTTTCTTTTCTCAGCGTTGACGGTGCAATGCAATGCAATGTAATGCAACGAATGACGGCTACCAAACAAGTGCTTAGTGTTGGTGTCTTCAAATTAATTCTGCGTGCCACTCCATTAATTTATATACCTTCTTACGTTCGGATCAGTCTCAACTCTCAACTATTGAGAACGTATCTTATGTTTGCAGAGACTGTCATCGGTTGAAATTTGTTGCAATTTTTTTTAATGAACTTTACTGTAATTTTAATATGCCTTTAATGTCATCGTTAATCAAAGGTTTTTGTTCACCAGATGCGATTATCAGCGTCACTCAAGTAATTCTTTGATGTACAGTAATTGATAATTTTTTTGATGGAATATTCACTGTAAGAGTTACTATAATAAACAGAAAGTAAGGAGAGAAAAAAAATATTAAGAAAAGGAGCAAAGCCTATTAATCTATAATAGTAGCTAGTAATATTTCTCAAATTTGTTGATGATTAATTTCTAACAAGATACTCTTAATTATTATTTTTTTCATTTATAAAACTCAAATCCAAATCTTTTTTTTTCTTACCAATAACTTGAGGTAATATGATATAATTTAACTGATTAATTAAGTTAAAGGAATTAGGTAATTGGTATAATAAGATTTGAGAATTGAGATAGTTTATTCATTCCTGAATTAAAAATATAAGAGTTTAATTTGTATATATTATTATAAAAAAATGTGTTTTACTATTAAATAATTATCAATCATTTTAAATATTATTTTTAAAATAATTTTCATATAAGTGAATAATATTATCATATATTAATCTATATTAAATAATAGTGTAAAAAAATTATCTTTTGTCGATATAATTTAATAAAATTATAAATATAAACCTTTTTAAAGAGTGATAAAACACAATTTTTATACATTTTTATTTTTACAAAATCATATATTTTTATTCATTGAAATAGGTTAAATTGGAATTTTTCCTTAACTAGTTATTAGTATAAAAAACTAAAAAAAGGTTCTTACTTTTTTATTTCTTTAATTAATTAATACATGACTTTCTTTGATTAACATTAAACACGATAAAATATTTTCAAATTTATTAAGCAAATAATAAAATTGTTGACTGAAAATTATTCTTTTATATTTTAAAATTAAAAAATTAAAAAATATTTTTGATATTTTAATTTATATTAAAAGTATCTGCACAAGATACTACTATAATATAATTCGATTACAATGTGGTGTAACATGCAAGTCAATTCGTAACGCAATATTTAATTTTTCTAAACAAATAATTGTGTACAGTATTATAAGGAATTGCAATTGAAGTATGTTTTTTGCTCTATACACTATATTTTATATTTGATGTGGTGAGTGTTATCGAGATATACGTACGAATGAACAAAATTTATGATGAGTGAAAATATTAATTTTGAAACCGCATCTGACTCAGGAAATTTGGTTCTTACATAGCGGTAGCGTATTTGTACTTTTTTGCTGACTATTAACATAATTATTTGTTCCACTAATATGCAAGTTCCATTTTTGGTAAAAATAATTTGTTATAAGCTTTTACTTATTTATCCACTGAATCAAATTAATAATATAAAATAAAATTTTAAATATTGGATTATTTTAATATTAAATATTTATTATATATAACTAAAATTTTAAATATATATATTTTTCAATTTCATCTATGTACCAAAAAAAATTAAAATATATATGTATATAAATAAAATACTATATTTCATTATATAAAATACATTTAAAATTTGAATAAGTAATAAATTATATTTCATATTTATGATAAATAATTTATATTCTAGTATAATTATTTTTATGGTTAAATTATATTTGTGTTTTTTTATCTTATTTTTTATATTTATTTTAGTCTTTTATCTATTAAAATATTCATTTGTTTTTTTATCTTTTACATTTAAATTAATTTGGTCATTTTAAAATAATGATCATGTTTAATTTTAGGACATCATTTTGAATCAATTTTTGATTTATTCAAGACTTAAAAAATTGTAACATTAGATTCACTTATATGAAAATTAAAAAACGTAATTGAAATTTGAATCCAAAAAAGTTATATACGTAGTTAATTATGCAAAAAAAAAAAATATTCCATGAATTACTAGAAAAGTAATATAAAATTATATTTATTGAAAATTTTATTTTCACCATATTTATAACATACATGGTGTGACCTTCAATTGCATTCGTTTTTATATAAGTAAAGTTTATGAGAGAAGTTTTAAATCTTGAATCAATCAAAAAAGAATTTAAAATGACTAAATTAATTTACCTAAATTTAGGAGATAAATAATTCATAAATAATCAGGATAAATAAATAAATGTATCTGTAGGTAATTACTAACGAATTTATTCGTGTGTAATTACCGACGGATATATCCATGAATAATTATTTTTTATTAATAATTTATGTTAAAAAGAATAAAATAAATTTATAAATAATTATAATAAATAAAAACTAAATTAAATAAGAAGTTAAAAAATATATAAAATTCTTCTAGTCAAAAAAGAGGCTCCAAAAATCCTATGACACAAATCATTGAAATAACATCCATGAAAACTTAGTTAAAAATATATTTTGTAATAAGATTACTAAATAGGATATAAATTTATCCCGGGTAAAAATCACTTTTGGTCACCCTAAAATTTTTCAAAATCAATTTTGTTCCCTCTAAAAAAATTTTGTATTCTTTTAGTCCCTCTAAAAATTAAATACATTGAAGTCGGCTCCTTTAGTGTAGGTCCATGAGTAACATTACTTATGTGGTTGATGGAAGTCCATGTGGATACGTTGTTATTGATATTGTTGAATAAAACCATTTGATTTATAAAGTTGTAAAATAAAATAGGAAAACAAAGGGACTAAAATTCAACACGGTGAAAATAAAAAGGTCATTTTCAAGTTTGAAGAACCACACAACCCAATACCATCGCACTATGCCTCCCCACAACGTTGTCTCACGACTCCGTCTTATGACTCCGTCGCACAATTTTGTTGCACTAGATCATGATTCACACGATTTCATTGCACTACACCATGATTCACATAATTTCGTCGAACTACATCCTAAACCCTAAATCATATAAGGAATTATGGAGTTACACTAAAAGGCAGACTTCAATGTATTTAATTTTTAGAGGGACTAAAAAATTTATAAATAAAAAAAAAAGGAAAATTAGAGAGACCAAGTTGATCTTGAAAAATTTTAGGAAGATCAAAAGTGACTTTTACCCATTTATCTTAGAATAAAATTTAAATTTTTTTTTATATAAGTCAACATACATGAAATTTAAAAAGATAAATAAATATTTGACTTTAATATATTATAACAAGACACTTGAGAGAAAATGTATTTTCATCTAGCACTATTATGTTCATATACATGTAGAATTATCCCAACCTAAAAAAAAATAGTAAAAGTACCATGATTAGATAAATTTTTCCATAAATATTTGTAGAAAAAAATTAAAAGCTAAAATTGACTTATTCATAAGTTAATTTGTACAACCTTATACATATTAGTTTTTTTTTAAAATTTATTTTTGATTAAATTATACTTTGATCCTTTATCTTATATTTTATATTCACTTTAATCTTTTATCTTTTAAAATATTCATTTTGGTCATTTATCTCCCAAATTTAGGTCAATTTAATCCTTTTGAATATTTTTTGATTGATTTATGACTTGAGATTTGACTTATAAGATTTTCTTATATCAAAATTATTGAATACAATTAAAATTCAAATTAAATGTGTTATAAATATTATGAAAAAATAGAAAATAAATAAATAAATAATTTAATTTCATATTATTTTTTAATTATATATGAGATATATTTTTCACATGATTTTCACTATGTTTGTAGTTCTTTTATATTCAAACATCAATTATATTTCATAATTTTCATATAAGTAAATATAAAGTTATAAGTTTCACGTCTTAAATCAATCAAAATTTTATTTAAAATCATGTTATAAAATTGAAAATAATCATTGTATTAAAAAGACCAAATTGATTCAAATATTAAATAAAAGACTAAAATAAAATATTTTAATAAATAAAGGACCAAAATAAATTAAAAAATAAGATAAAAGAGAAAATGTATAATTTAACCTATATTTTTTTTCTTATATATAAGTTGGTGTGGAAAAAAAAATCATATATAAGCTAATTTTAATTTATTAAAAAGTTTTTTTTCCTACTCTTATAAACACTTATGGATAAGTACTTTATCTAAGTTCTATATTTTTGCGAGAATAATTAACATTAAAAATCCAAAAGTCTAGAATTTATCAATTAAATTAATACAATTATGTAAAATAAATTTGAACATGTTCTTGAATAAAATTGCAAAAGCTCGTTGATATAAGTATAATTACTAAGAAAAGGTATATAACAATTAAATTCTATAAATAATTCACATTATCAAGTATATAAAATATTATAAAATATTTAACATTATCAAGTATAGAACTGTAAATATTTGTCACTTGTCTGTGGTATTTAAGCTACATGCGGTTTAGAACCAAAATTGCATTTCAAAAGTATTTTTGCTAAATCGTGTGCGACAAATTAAAAGTGAATTTAAGCTTAATTGAAAGTTGTTAACATTTACACATGTACAATGAATAACACTATTTTAACATTTCCAACTCACTAATTTTATAAAGTACCATCAAAAGTATAGTGAAGTATCGAAGTAATATACAGAGTTTTATGTTTGAGTTTAGATGTTGTCATTGTGATTTTAATTATAAAAAAAAATATTTTGAAATAAAAATTATTAATATTTGATATTAGGTATTTAAAATGAAATAAAAATAAATAAATTTCATATAATTGTCTCTTCTAATCAGCATTTACTATTTCGATTAGCCTTGTAGAGAGCTTGTCAAACTAGTTCATGCATTAGAGTCTCTAATATATTGGTTAATCACTTTTTATTTATTTTTCAACTCTTCATCAAAATTCAGACATA